CCTCTGTGTGCTCATCTTTCATACAGAAACAATGGCAAATGCTTAACATCTAAGATGATCACAAGGACAAATACGAGTAAAAGCACTTTCTAAGCTGGAAAATGCTATGTGAGAGGTAACTGAAAACAGATTTCTAGTTAACACATATATTGCATTTGGTAGCCATCCTAGACTTTTCTATTCTGAATCTGGAGCAACTAGAATCTATGTGTAGATTATTTTAAAATTATTAATAATATGTGAAATATATACCTATGATTATAAAAGATCATCAAAATGACACCTGAAAATGTCATTACCTGAAAATGACAGGGGTGCCTGGTTGGCTCAGTCGGTTGAGCACTGGACTCTTGGTTTTGGCTCAGGTCATGATCTCAGGGTCATGGGATCGAGCCCTGTGTGGGGCTCTGCACTCAGTGCAGAGTCTGCTGGAGATTCCCTCTCTCACCCTCTGTCCCTCCCACTTGTGCTCTCGCTCTCTCCCTCTCTCTAAAATAAAGAAATAAATCTTAAAAAAAAAAAAGGTAACTGAAAATGACTGAAACACATACCCCTACTAAGGGCCTCTTTTGTTATATTTGGCAATTAATGGATGGGGGTCAGGAATGCTCAATGTCCAGCAAGGCATGACTGTACACCATTCAGAAGCACAGCCCCTTCCAGGAACAGAAACTAGTTTTTTATAGCCTTGGCCCTGGAGATAATGTAATAAAATGGCAACAGCATAATATTTTTAATCCCTCACAAGTCTGTGATCTTATGGAAGAAGCTACTAAGCTCTAATAGTTTCTGTGTACTCGTTTGGGGTACTCCTTTGGGAACCCAATGAAAGCCATGAGCATTTTCCCCAGAAAATTACCGGTAAATGCAAACTTTTACCTAGAGTCCGTTTATTCTTTTGCATACAATAGGGGGTAATGATAATTACCTCTCACAGTATTGGGATGCTATTATCAGAAACAGAATATTTAAAAGCACTTCATAAATTATAAAGATTGTTACTATTATTACTTCTATTTTCAAGAGTGAATCTTAGTACCAACAGAATAATTTAGCAGAAAAGTTTAAGAGGTCTCACTCTGTGCTCACATTTGCCTATGATGTCCACCCAATAACCAACTAAAAATGATCTCCCAAAGAAGATATACAAATGACCACTAAGCACATGAAAAGATGCTTGGCATCATTAGACATTCGGAAAATGCAAATCAAACTCACAAATGAGATACTGCTAAGAGGCCTAAAGCGAAAGGCCTCAGTTGCTCATCTGCAAAATGGGGTAGTTAACTAGATGTACTTACGCTGGTCTCTGGTCCTTTAAGTTTGTCCTTTCGATGGCTGCCCTGACCACACTTGGAATGTTGGTTTCAGCTCTACAGCTGCCATAGGGTCTGTGCTACAAACTCCTGAGGGTTTTTGCTACAAGAGAGCAGCCTTGTGGGGTGTACACACTTGCTTGCAGCTGTTCCTTCTGAGCTATCGGATGGATAAACACAGCAACAACCCCTAGATCTGTGCATTGTAAGGATCTAAGAAGTTGTTATCTCTGTACCTCTTGGCCCTTTGCACAAGGCCTCTGGACAAACCCTGCATGTTCTGCAAACATTTGCTCAACTGGGTGGTTTGTCTCAAGCGAGTCATAATCACAGCACAAGAAATACTCTGCACAGGGTAGAAAGTTTAAGTTGATGCCATTTATGAACAGGAGTTCCATCAGGTATAGAAGAAGAGTATTTCTCCAAATTGTTTTCTAAAAAATTCAGTATATTAAAACCCATTTTCAACTAGCAACCATAAAATTGAAATCAAGAATAGATGTATGTGGGCGCCTGGGTGGCTCAGTTGGTTAAGCGACTGCCTTCGGCTCAGGTCATGATCCTGGAGTCCCGGGATCGAGTCCCACGTCGGGCTCCCTGCACAGCAGGGAGTCTGCCTCTCTCTCTGACCCTCCCCCCTCTCATGCTCTCTATCTCATTCTCTCTCTCAAATAAATAAATAAAATCTTTAAAAAAAAAAAAAAGAATAGATGTATGCGGAAATATTCACAATATTTTAAAATACACCTACATACCCTCATATCAAACTACTCCCATTCACACATACACACTCCTCATGTAGTTAAGAGAGGACGACAGACCTGGAGACAAAACACAGGAGCAGTAAATTCAACAGTATCATTGATGGGGTAACAGGACTGCAGTCCCACTTGCTTCTGAAATTCTTCTCTATCAACTAGGAACAAGACTCTGGGAAGGAGGCTTTGTATCCCTGCTTCTTGCTTCAACACTATCATTTACAGGGAAATTGTAAGTCAGGCATGCTTAGCTCAAAGAATATCAAATTGATTCACCACTTTATGAAGTTAAAACCAAAGCACAGAAAACAACACACCAGCAGAGCATTCAAGCAGCGCCCATGACTGGCACCAGCCCAGCGAGCGGGCAGCTTGGCCAGACAGGGAACATGTCAAGTCCTCACAGCCACGTGGTGGCTTATAACAAACTCGCACGTGCTCAGATAAGAGTAAAACACTCATATGGGAAGAAAACAGAAATCTGACCTTGCCAGAGAATGGCTCTGCTCACCGGTCACAAGCAGCTGTACGTAGACCAGCATAGGTAACTCACAAATGGGACACTTCAGTTGGCTGGAAGCAGCCCGAACTCCCTTCTAGGACCGTCTGTAGGACAGAGCAGTGTTTTCTCTACATACCACTAAGGCTCCCTGAAAACACAAACACTTCTCAGCTGTCCCGATGGCCGCTCCTCTTCCTTGTCAGGTGCCAGGTAGCAGCATGCCCGGGGACAGGCCTTTCATGGTGTGAGCGGCCAAGCACTTGCTTTCACAAGCTTGGCACCAGCCGGGGAGCTCCTGCCTACTTCTGAGCCCTGCCCTAGGGCAGAAAGGCGGGTGTGTGCTCGACAAAGCAAGAGCCCAAAATATAGGAGATTAAGCTTTCTTCTATCTTTAAGGAGTTCCTGCCTACAGAAAAGAGCCCAAAGGAAGCCAACCAAGCATTCGGAGTAGGGGTCTGAAGCTAAACCTGCATTCAGAAAAGAGTTCAAAGGAAGCCAACAAAACATGTGAATGGGGGGTGGGGGAAGTAATCCAACGGTGGACATCAAAACTGGCATTTCACTGACATTCACAGAAAGTAAATGTAAGCGACTGCCCTACAAGTTGCAGCTGGAAACAATCAGTAATCCCTGAGTCATTTAATCTGACTCTGGTTTCTCCATATCTTGAAGAAGGCCTAGAAGCCGCTCTGAGTGGCTTACAGCTGACTCAATTCAGCCTAATTGATACCTGCTTAAAAGGGAAACGTGATCATCCCTACTACTGCTAACGTCCCATTAAGGCTAAAAGTTAATTAGGTCGTGTTCCATAAAGTCAATTTGAGGCATTTGTCTCAATAGCATTATTGTAATTATTCCTCATCAAAATGAATACCACCTCCTATGCGCGCCAATGTCTTGTGTAAACAACAGCAAAAATCCAACAACTCACATTCCATTCTACACCTGAGTTATTTAAGTCGGTTTGTGTTTACATAGAACGGAAAAAGGGGATTCATAGACATTAACATTTAAAAAAAATACAAAGGTATGTTTAAAACATCTTGCTTTAAGTTTCCGAAGACCGGGAAAATAATAGCAAACTAAATAAATAGCATGACAAATTTTATATATCATAACAAAACCACTAAAAGTCAAAAACAGAAGTACCTATTAAAGTCAACCTAGTACATATGCTCGTGCCTGAGAGTGGATCCCACAAAATGCTGACTGAATGAGCACATGACACAGCCTACTCGCGTGTGTGCGTGTGTGCGTGCGTGTGTGTGTTTGTGGGCATGCATTCTTGAGCCCTGAACATCCACCCTGACACTACACCTTGCCACCACACCTCAGAAGGCTCTGGCAAAGTCTTAGGCACATGAAATAAACAGGGGCAGCAGGATACCCCCAAAGACATTTCTAGTGACAAAGGAAAGAAGGTCATTTCCCTGGCAAATTTTCCCTCAAGACCCAGAATTTAAACACAGCAAAATAATGGCCTTCAGTGAGTCTTTTTAATTTACATTTAATAAAATATAAATAAAATTAAATGTTAGAGAAACAAAACAAATGCATCAAAGTCCAAAAGAAAGAATCATACAGCCTACCTACCATACAGATATTGACCTTTAGTGACTAAATGTTAATATTGGAATTAAAACATTCTAAGAATTACACCTCAGGAGGACAACTAAAGTGCAATCATGTTTTGTTACTACTTGTCCACTGGCATCATCAGTGGTCTAATGATGGGACCACAATGGGATGCGGGTGGTGATGAGAGAAAGGCAGGAGGGACAAGGCCAAGGAAGGTGTACCCCAGAAATGTAAACAACCCTGAGTTTCACCCTGGGTATGGACAGCAGATACTCTCTGAACAGTGATTCTCAAACTTGGCTGCACATCATAAGCACCTGGGAAGCTTTCACTATCCCAATGCCCAGGTTCTCGCTGCCCACCTCCCCAGTCAAATCTAATCTCTAGAGGTGGGGGACCCAAATACCAGTTGTTTTTAAAGCTCCCCAAGTGATTTCAATCTGCAGTCAAGTTGCAGACCCAGTGCCTTTGTCTATAAAAGGCCTCCAGTGAAATAATTCTACAGTTAGATGCTGATGAGGACATGTCTGTCCATTTCTCAAAGAAAAACAAAATATTGGTGTATAGTAGTGGAACTAGTCATAAGCCAAGAATTCAAGTTCCAATCCTGCCCCTTCCCCGACTTATGTGACTTTTCAGCAAATCACTTGATTTCCTGGGGCCTCAATGCATATTCCTTTTCCACAGGAAGGGATTCTACACAGTCTGTAGGAACCCATTTAATCATATCTTGTTTACATACTAATGAAGAAATACTTTCAAATAGGATGGTGTGTCTAGGTTAGCAATTTTGAGGTAAATCAGGATCCCAGTTTTACTTATTTACTCTTTAAGAGCTGGACCCACCAGTAAAAACTGAGTGAATTCTGCATATGTCAGGTGTCTTTTTCTTTCTTTTCCAAAATGTAGTTGCACAAATTCTGAATCCCAGTTAAATGGAATACGTTGATGAATTGTGGTCTGTCCAAAAACTTGCTTAACGTCCTCTGAAAAGAGAAAAGAAAGATAAAAACAAATTAGATTTATCCTTATATAGTAAGTTACTAAAAGGATATTGCTACTTTCTCCTTATAAAAAATAATTCAACTTTAAAACCACACAGGTTATAAAACCATGGCAAAAATAAAAGTTGGAATCTTCATGCAATCAGTCAAGAAACCAAAATTAATAGTCCCACCAATAAAGAGAAGAAAAAAATCAAGAAGTCACACACAGATACACGCATGCATGCACGCACGCCTAGAAGGCAGTAGGAAACCAAACCAAAATGATCATCTAATTCTAATATCATCATCTCACATGTTTTGTTTCAACAAGTATTATTTTCTAAACACAGGGGACATATGTACATATAGAAACACACACAGCACTATACAAGTCTTAAATATAGTCCTTTCTCAAGTTATTAAAAAGTTCTCGACTCTTTAATAATATTGGTTCTCCCAATCCATGTGCATGGAATATTTTTCCATTTGTTTGTGTCATCTTCAAGTGACATAAGTCAGGCAGAGAAAGACAAATACCATGTGACTTCACTATGTGGAATTCAAGAAACAAATGATGGTGACAGATGGCGACTACTTTATCATGGTGAGCACTGTATATATATATATATATATATATAGAATTGTTAAATCATTATGTTGTACTCCTGAAACTAATACTACACTGTATGCTAAATACACTTCAGTTTTTAAAAAAAGTTACTGAGGATTTAGAAATCAGCCAGAAATATCTTGAAGCACATACTCAACAGCACTAAGACCATTTGAGCTTTAAAAAGTTCCACCAGTCCTGAGAGAAAGGCGTTTAAAGACAAAGGTGATGGGGAAGTAGAGCCCACAGCCCAATTTCTTCAACTTGATACAGCACATCGTCCACAGAATCCCATTTTAGATGGGCACCGAATGTACTAGTAATGATCCTTCACCTCTTTTGAGCCTCTTCCACAAATATATCAGTAAGAAAACTGACAAAGAAAACAACAATAGGAAAAACCTGACTTTTCTAAAGCTTCACGTTTCTATTTACAAGTCTCCCCCCTCCCAACAAAAATGTGTTTGGAGGGCAGAGGGACACAAATTATTATATTAATGAAATTTTGTCCTGGCCTTCACTTCCTTAAATATATCTACCAAACCTGCTCATTTTTATGAGCAAACTGTGCCTGATACCTTGGGGATTCCCCCTCCCCTTGCACCCATTAAAAAAGAAAAAAGAAGTTAGTCCTTTAGTTCTCCAAAAGGAGCCAAAAACTTTGGCACAGGTTTCCACTGTTTCCCCCAAATTTCCTACTTCTACCCCATTTCATCCACAAGTTTTTATTACATGTCTTTAACATTTCCAGAAAGTTTTTAAGTTTGGCCATGAAGAAACAGGCCAGTGCTGCCATCAGCAGAAGGATGGGCGTTTATCTGCAGAGAAGGCAGTAAAAATCAGAACTATGCTGGGCATAAATTTTATAAAAGGTGGCAGAAAATCTCAGGCTGGCCCTGAAGAGGACAATAACAAAAAAGTTTTAAAGTACAACTCTCAATTTCCTTGAATTTATTCTGTCTTTTAGGAAGAGAGAGAGAGAGAGAGAGAGGGGAAAAAGGAAGTGAAACAAGAATTGAGATTTAAAAGAAAAAAACAAAAAAGGAAAGATCCCCAGAGAGTGAGGGTGATGGTTGTCCTCGATGAAATAAATTAAGCAGGAAAAACAAGTTTCTTTACAGCTCTAAAACATCTAAGAAATTCCTGAACCAAAATTCCAATGGCTTGGCTTCAAATGCTACTACTAATCAGGACTAACCTTTCTGAGGCATTAGCCATGTGCCAAGTACTATTCTAACGGCTCTATGCATCAGTCCTCAGTGGTGAAACAGATAATGCCCTAGAAAATCCGTAGCTTCTTTCCATTCTAAATTTCCATACCTCTGCATGAAGCAGGCCCCACAGAGGTTCAGAGAAGGCTCCCACAATCTTCTAATCTAGACCAATAAAGTATCTAGTGGGAAATGATGTTCAAATGACAAAGACGTGACCAAAAGAAAAAACACAATTTTTACACTGTAAAAATTTCATACCATAATAAAATGTAAACAAAAATGGTGTCCTAGTCATTTTTCTGCCAAGCATGCAGATGGAGTAAAGTTTTACATAATAATCATGCATAGCTTTCAAAAATGACATTCTTCCTTTTCCTGACTTCTCTCTCCTTCAGTGTCCCATACAAAGTAACAGACGGTAGTAACCAAATACTGGTATATAAAGCTATGAGACTTATTATTCATTTTAATATTTATATGGTCTAAGACTGGAAATATACATACATAAATTTAAGTCACTCAAGAATGAGTAAATGAGGGCACCTGGGTGGCTCAGTTGGTTAAGCGACTGCCTTTGGCTCAGGTCATGATCCTGGAGTCCCGGGATCGAGTCCCGCATCGGGCTCCCTGCTCAGCGGGGAGTCTGCTTCTCCCTCTGACCCTCCTCCCTCTCATGCTCTCTGTCTCTCATTCACTCTGTCATTCATAAATAAATAAATAAATAAATAAATAAATAAATAAATAAATAAAAATAATTAATAAATAGTAAATGAATTTAAAATGTGCCTCACTGTAACCTAATTAGTTTTCCTATAATTAAAGTAACATTTACTGCCTAGTAGAGGCTCTGACTTGAATTCAAAACTGTGAACTTTGAACTCTAAAGTCTAGCACCGCCTGCAACTATACCACAGATCTTTTCTCTCTTATGAAGTCTGCTTGAAATACTGAAACCCAGTCACTCTCTTGGGGCGCCTGGGTGGCTCAGTCGTTAAGCGTCTGCCTTCGGCTCAGGTCATGATCCCAGGGTCCTGGGATCAAGCCCCGCATCGGGCTCCCTGCTCGGTGGGGGGTCTGCTTCTCCCTCTCCCACTCCCCCTGCTTGTGTTACCTCTCTGGCTGTGTATCTGTCAAATAAATAAATAAAATCTTAAAAAAAAAAAGTGTAGAGCTGTATGTGATCCTGAAGACATAACTCTACAAACTGTCAATCCTATAGACCTGTACTATTGGTAATAATCAGCTTTCAAGATTTATTTACATAATATGTATATATATGCAGGTATGTGCTGCGAGCGCACGTATTTATTATATATCTTTTCTTTCCACATAGATGACTAGCACCTTGAGAGCAAAAGGCCCTTTTCTTCACATCTGGTTGTCCCACCATGGCTGGTTCGGTAGGCTTAGAGCAACTACCTACTAAACAGAATGTAAACGAGTCAGGAAAGGGTGAGAGTAGAGCAACAGGTTAAAGACAGTGGCATTGGGCGCCTGGGTGGCTCAGTCGTTAAGCGTCTGCCTTCGGCTCAGGTCATGATCCCAGGGTCCTGGGATCGAGTCCCACATCGGGCTCCCTGCTCAGCAGGGAGCCTGCTTCTCCCTCTCCCACTCCCCCTGCTTGTGTTCCTGCTCTCGCTCTCTCTCTCTCTGTCAAATAAATAAATAAAATCTTTAAAAAAAAAAAAAAAAAAAGACAGTGGCATTAACCCTCTGAGGTACTACAGTTTCCATTTACTGAGAAGCTATTTCAATAATCATTTCCTAAGATTTCAGGGAAGTGCTTAAGAATCATCAGTCTTGCTTATTAAAGCCTTCAGTTCCACTCCTAGACTGACTCACTGTCTATCGGGGGTTGAGGATCTGCATTTTAACCAGCATAGCTAGTGTTTCTGATACAAGGGTCTAGGACCTCATTGTTAAAAACACTGCCCCAAAAAGTTATGGAAAAGTTAGATTAACTCCTTACTAATTTTTTTTTAAGATTTTATTTATTTATTTGACAGAGAGAGACAGCGAGAGAGGGAACACAAGCAGGCGGAATGGGAGAAGGAGAAGCAGGCCTCCCGCTGAGCAGGGAGCCCGATGTGGGGCTCGATCCCAGAACCCTGGGATCATGACCTGAGCCGAAGGCAGACACTTAATGACTGAGCCACCCAGGCGCCCCAACTCCTTACTAATTTTTAACTTCCCACTGAAACAGACAAACATATAACATGATGGAGGTAGGAAAGAGTCTCCAGTCCAGCGAATGTAACACAATAATGTGTAAACACAGGCCACTTCTAGACACAAGAGGACACACAGGCCGCCACATTGGGCAAAAAAGTGGATGACCTCCTCTTCACTTCCCATGCGGCTGATGCTCCCTGGGGCTGGACGGGTTACACTGATGTGACCCTGAGAATGCGGTCCCGTTACTCGTTCTCAGGGGCTCTGACAAACTGGCTAGGGTAAGAACGCCAGGGCTTAGCTAGCTAGCTAACAACTCGGAAGTAGCAAAGCCTGTGCGCACCGTACTCGCCGAGTGGGACGCAGAATGGTGGTAGAAGGCATGCTGCTGTATCGGAGCCTAATCCACAAGAAACAACTACACAGCAGATCCTGACAGGGTACCACAGTAAGTGTTCACCTGCAGGAGTTCCTCACGGCAAGGAAACAGAAGCTTCCGGAGGGAGGCACTTACAGAAGAGAAGAAGGCTCCTTGGAGAAGACAAAACATGATCTGGGTGCTGAAGGCTGCCAAGGATTTATCCAGATAAACCCGTGAGGGAGTTTTTCGGTGGAGAGCAACAGCATGAAGAACGGTTCATTTCCTCGGAAGTGAATTAAGGGCCCAATCACCGTGCTTTGGACCAAAGCCACCCCGGGTCACTGAGACATGACAGATCCTGCTCCAGGCAGTTACAGACGTTGGCCTCACTTGCCCGAGCAAATACTATTTTTAAACCCCAAGGACTTGATGCCACCTTTATGGTGAAGAAAAGCTTGCTGTGGAAGAAGACCTGTTCATGGGACACTGCAGAGAAAGAGGCCCAGAGGCGTTTTGTTTTAAACCATTTGGTACAATTTCTACAAAATTCATTTTACTCTCCTAATTTACCTAACAAAGGTTTATGTACTCAAATATCGTAAGACTGCCAAGCCACTCTAACTGGACAGACCAAATGACTGAG